GTTGATAGCCCCCCCCCCCCCTAGTCACTTGTGTTGATATTCTCCTCTCATCACAAGTGTTAAAAGCCTCCCATAGCAACATGTGTTGATAGCCTCCACTCACTAGTCACATGTGCTGATAGCTCCCTTAGTCACATGTGTTGATAGTGTCCCCTTGTCACTTTTATTGATAACCTCTCATAGTCACTTGTGTTGATAGCCTCCCCTAGTCACTTGTGTTTATAGCCTCCCCTGGTCACATGTGTTTATAGCCTCCCCTCGTCACATGTGTTGATAACCTTCCCTAGTCACTTGTGTTGAAAACCTCCCCTAGTCACATGTGTTGATAGCCTCCCCTAGTCACTTGTGTTGATAGACTCCCCTAGTCACTTTTGTTGATAGCCTCCCCTAGTCACATGTGTTGATAGTGTCCCCTTGTCGCTTTTATTGATAGCCTCTCATAGTCACTTGTGTTGATAGCCTCCCATAGTCACTTGTGTTTATAGCCTCCCCTAGTCACATGTGTTTATAGCCTCCCCTCAACACATGTCTTGATAACCTTCCCTATCACATGTGTTGATAGCCTCCCCCTAGTCACATGTGTTGATAGCCTCCCCTAGTCACTTGTGTTGATAGCCTCCCCTAGTCACATGTGTTTATAGCCTCCCCTAATCACTAGTGTTTATAGCCTCCCCTAGTAACATGTGTTGATAGCCTCCCCTTGTCACATGTGTTGATAACCTCCCCTTGTCACACGTGATGATAACCTCCCCTAGTCACATGTATTGATAACCTCCCATAGTCACTTGTGTTGATAGCCTCCCCTAGTCACATGTGTTGATAACCTCCCTAGTCACTTGTGTTGAAAACCTCCCCTAGTCACATATGTTGATAGCCTCCCCTAGTCACATGTGTTGATAGACTCCCCTAGTCACTTGTGTTGATAGACTCCCCTAGTCACTTGTGTTGATAGTCTCTCTTAGTCACATGTGTTGCTAGCATCCCCTCGTCACATGTGTTGATAGCCTCTCCTCGCCACATGTGTTGATAGCCTCCCCTAGTCACATGTGTTTATAGCCTCCCCTAATCACTAGTGTTTATAGCCTCCCCTAGTAACATGTGTTGATAGCCTCCCCTTGTCACATGTGTTGATAGTCCCTCTTAGTCACATGTATTGAAAGTCTCCCCTAGTCACATGTGTTGATAGCCTCCCCTTGTCACATGTGTTGATAACCTCCCCTTGTCACACGTGATGATAACCTCCCCTAGTCACATGTATTGATAGACTCCCCTAGTCACTTGTGTTGATAGCCTCCCATAGTCACTTGTGTTGATAGCCTCCCCTAGTCACTTGTGTTGATAACCTCCCTAGTCACTTGTGTTGAAAACCTCCCCTAGTCACATATGTTGATAGCCTCCCCTAGTCACATGTGTTGATAGCCTCCCCTAGTCACTTGTGTTGATAGACCCCCCTAGTCACTTGTGTTGATATCCTCCCATAGTCACTTGTGTTGATAGACCCCCCTAGTCACTTGTGTTGAAACCCTCCCCTAGTCACATATGTTGATAGCCTCCCCTAGTCACATGTGTTTATAGCCTCCCCTAATCACTAGTGTTTATAGCCTCCCCTAGTAACATGTGTTGATAGCGTCCCCTTGTCACATGTGTTGATAGTCCCTCTTAGTCACATGTATTGAAAGTCTCCCTTAGTCACATGTGTTGATAGCTTCCCCTTGTCATATGTATTGATAGTCTTCCTTAGTAACATATGTTGAAAGCCACCCTAAGTCACTTCTGTGGATAACCTCCCAAGTCACATGTGTTGATAACCTCCCAAGTCACATGTGTTGATAACCTCCCTAGTCACATGTATTAATAACCTCCCAAGTCACATGTGTTGATAACCTCCCCAGTCACATATGTTTATCACTTTACAGCTTAACTCCTATCACATAGACTCCTCGCCACATGTGTTGATAGCCTCCCCTAGTCACTTGTGTTTATAGCCTCCCCTAGTCACTTGTGTTTATAGCCTCCCCTTGTCACATGTGTTGATAGCTGCCCCTAGTCACATGTGTTGATAGCCTCCCCTTGTCACATGTGTTGATAGCCTCCCCTAGTCACATGTGTTGATAACCTTCCCTAGTCACTTGTGTTTATAGCACATGTGTTGATAGCCTCACCTTGTCACATGTGTTGTTAGCTGCCCCTAGTCACACGTGTTGATAGCCTCCCCTTGTCACATGTGTTGATAGCCTCCCCTTGTCACAGGTGTTGAAAGTCCCTCTTAGTCACATGTATTGATAGTCTCCCTTAGTCACATGTGTTGATAGCATCACTCAGTCACATGTGTTGATTGTCTCCCTTGTCACATGTGTTGATAGTCTCTCTTAGGCACATGTGTTATTAGTCTCCCTTAGTCACTTGTATTGATAGCCTCATTTAAGCACATGTGTTGATAGTCTCCATAAGTCACATGTGTTGATAGCTTCCTCTTGTCATATTTATTGATAGTCTTCCTTAGTAACATGTGTTGAAAGCCACCCTAAGTCACTTGTGTTGATAACCTCCCAAGTCACATGTGTTGATAACCTCCCAAGTCACATGTATTAATAACCTCCCAAGTCACATGTGTTTATCACTTTACAGCTTAACTCCTATCAAACCACATGATGTTAGAGGCTTACCTTGTTAACAGATGGAAGATTTTCTGCCTGAATTACAACAGTTGTTTGTTTATCCTTGTGCAACTTGATCTGCATCTCTGATAGCTGAGGACATTTTGAAGCGTTCTGAAATGTCATGGGAAATATAAATATTACATATGTTATATCTTACAGTACCATTATTATTGTAAATCATTAATACATTACATTGATTGAACATTGATGAAACCTCCCTAATATGCTCTTTTGTTACATTTGACCCCCTTATTTATGATAAATAACCCAAATATATTTTTGAGTACTTATTTAAGTGTACTCAAAATTTAGCTCATTATCAAATTTTGTCAGAGACCATCGATGAATTGTCACACTCTCAATGTATGCAACAGGAAAGTATATACAGAATCTTAAATTAGTGCTGTCATAGTTTACCACAATATTCAAAGCGCAAAAAAACACTAAAAATAGCGATATTAACACAAAGTCTAACTGAAGAAATAGCGATATTAACACAGTCTAACTGAAGAAATAGTAATATAAACACAAAGTCTAATTGAGNGAAATAGTGATATTAACACAAAGTCTAACTGAAGAAATAGTGATATTAACACAAAGTCTAACTGAAGAAATAGCGATATTAACACAAAGTCTAACTGAGGAAATAGCGATATAAACACAAAGTCTAAAAGAGGAAATAGCA